GAAGCTCCGAAACCAAGAACCCAAAAACCAAAGGGCAAAATATAGGATTTCTAGAAGTAGGGTGCATTACATTAATCTTTTAAAACTCTAAAAGTCTGATTTTTGATCGAAAAATGTGGAGAAAAGGATCGGTAATTTAGTTCTGATCTTCAAAATGCCTCTACAATGACAGGGACTTGACAGTGGGGATTAGGCTGAATGTTTCAGTTTTGGATAAACCTTTGCTTTCATTACTTTGTTCTTTTCCTCAGATAAAGATCCGTATTTGGACTGTATTTTAAGGATTATTCAGACAGCAAGATTATTATTCAAATCCTGAACTTGTTATTTACAATAATTAATTAGTTAATTAATCTTAAGAAACAATTAACTTAATTATTGCAATAATGGGTAATGCTATGATGTAACATTAAATATTACGGTATTCCATTTATTATAGAGTACGGGTGATTTTTTGGTCTTATTTTTTTTATTATTCAAATTGGTTTATTGAATATGGTCTATTTTAATGGGAAGTAATTTACGTATTTTATAAATGTGCTATTTTCATTAATATAATACATTGTTTATAAATGAATCACTAGTTTTCCGTCTTGAAATACTTTAATAATTTCATTAACAAGTACTTTCCCTTTACAAGGAGTGAAGATGAGGGTGGGTGAGGCGGGGATGGGGGGTGTTTTGTGTTACACAATTGAAAAGTTTTTTACAATGACAATGTTTAACATTTGATAGACAACGATGCATATAGCTTCTAGTTGAAATTATGACTACATTTGTGTGGTACATAACGTGTTACTTTGTTTCTACGACGAGTTAAATTTCATTATTCACAGCACTTAAGATAACTTCTGTGGTTAAGTAAGAATATTTACACAATTCATGTATTTTAATGTACACAAAATCATTTATAGCGTAATGGAGTAGGATTTACACAAGTCAACTGTTTATGCCTCGATGCTATACGAGACAAAATTCGTTCATTGTGCTCTCATTGTTTATCTCAAGTTCCTAAAATCATGATTGCCCAATTCAATCTTTAGATGAAAGCTTGTATCAGACGCACGTTGACCAATCAGGTAACCCGAGGTCAAGTAGATTTCGTTATTAATTGCACATGTGATCAATCATGTACAATAACAAGTCAAATGTATCTATTTATTTTCCGACTCATATCTAAATTAGTTAAATAAGTCTTAAGATAAATAACTTTTTGGGTAAAAGTTGAAAAAGAATTACTCAAGCCTCTTTTTACAAATTTACAAATATGTATTCCCTAGAAGGCACCAAAAAATTAAAAATAAAATGAAACAAATGGAACATTTATGAGAATTGCCCATGTTTGACATCTACTAGTCAACAGCGTAAATCGCTTCGATTCTAAATTAGAATGTCACTATTGTGGTGCTTAATATGTTACTTTGATCCCTTGTTATGTTAAACTTTGTTATTTATAGCATTTAAGATAGCTTCTCTAGTTATTATTGAGATTTTCTCAACTCACGTGTTTTATCCAAAATCAGTCATCTTATAAGGAAGTGGGGTCTACAGGAAGTGAAATACTTATGTCAAGACTCTAATTGAGATAGATATCCGTTCATTTGCATTTAGAATCGATATTATTCAATCCGTACCATCAAATAGTTGTCGGTGATTATCTCGAGTTATTAATGAGCATGATCTCCCAATCAAATGTTTAGATGGATTGTGTTAAGCACGCATTACCAATTTAATAATTGTGCTTCACAGTAATAAAGGTCAAATGGAATCTATGCTTTTTGTGCACGCGTGATCAATCATGTACAATAACATACCAAGTATATCTTTTTATCTTCCAACATTGTGTCTTTATAAATAAAAAATTTAAAAACGAAGTGAGCTGAAGCAGAAAAAGAGCACTTTGACCAAGCATAAAAGGTTTTTACACAGAAATAAATTTTCTTACAATAAAATAAGTAAACATTAAAAATAAAAGTTGAAAAAAGGGAAAATGAGTTACTTATTTTCGATTTGGGGTTCATTTTAGAATCCCGAATTTTTAACTTAAATTCGCATATATTTTTATTTGCCATTTAATAGGAATGCAATGTTTGGTTAAGTTCTTATGCAAGTTAATTGATTATCTCTATAGTTATCTTATTAGTTGAGGGACCAAATTAAAAAAAAATATATCAGATTATTTTATACTTTATTAAATGGGCCAAATAGTTAATTATTGAAGGAATTAGAATTACTCTACCAATATTGGGTTCATTTTGAAGCTCATAATAAATGGCGAATTATGGACTCAAGAAAAATTTAATTTGCAAGTTAAACCCGAGTTTTAGCCGTCTAAAGAATATTATGTTTATAAAAGTTTTAAAGGATTAGATTTTTCGCCAATTGACTGCCACCACTAGTTTAGCTAAATAAATTAGAATTTTAAATTTTGGTTAAACAAAGTCTTTATGTTAAGTATTAATAATTATACATTTTTAATTAAGAGTTAATCAATTAAAACGTAATTCTTGCTTACAAATTTAGTTAAATCCAAATCAAAGGAATTTGAATTATTTGATGTTAGACTTTAGTACATGAGTAACCCATGCATTTCATTACAACTTTCACGTGTCCATATAATTAGTAATCATTGTGTCCCCTAATTGGAACAAATTTTGGGAAGATTGGACTGAAATTCTAATTTAATTAATAAGCATACATTTTATAATTTTTGGCCATTAGGAGATTGACAATTTAAAATGTTTGTATTAGAGTAAATTATGCAAATAGGAGGCAGATTTGTTTTCCCCGTCCACGTGTAAAAGTCATGCAGTGTAATGCCTATCATTTCCTTGTTGTAATTGTAATTGATATAGAAATTGGCAGAAAACCAATAATTAATCTCCAGTCATACTATATCAATCGGGAATTATGAATCAATTTCTCAGAAGATTGCATGAAATACAAATTTAAATATGGCTGAAATTCCACTTCCCCCACGTGATTACCCAACTTCAACAGTATAAATAGAGCACTAAAACCACATTCTACTACACTTCCATTACCTCTCCCTCTTTAAAATATTCCTCTATATTATTTAGATTTTTTAAGGCTTTGAAATTGCAATCACATTTCTGCAATTTTATTCTCCACTTTCATCTTCAAAAGGTGAGATACTCGGTGCTATTAGTGGTTATTCCACATCTTTTCAAATACGTTATTATGAATTTAATTACTTCAATTCAGGCTCCTTCGGGAGAAATGATGATACATTTTAAGGCACAATTTAGCCTTCACGTTATTTTCAAGGCACAATTTAGCCTTCACGTTATTTTGCAGCGCTTGCTAGAATTATCATTTGTCATGGTGTGATAATTCTCATGTTATGTTGGTAAGATAATTTATTTGTAATTTCATGTTTGACTTGAATGTGGAGTAGCAAGTATCTCATTGAGTATAATTCGTTATACTCATCCCCTTATTTACAATTTTCAGGTAATAATTTGTATGCTGGACGGCGGTAGATGGATTTGCTATTGGACCAACGGAACCACGTCATGAAGTATTTTAATTTTCAAAAACACTAGAACTAATAACGGGTTATTCATTTTTTACCCAATTGTGAGTGCATTATAAATTTTCAATTAGTTTTAACTATTCTAATAATTTTTGGATGAATGATATATTTTCAAACGTTCCGCATATTTAAATTTATCTTTTGATTAAATGTTATTCAATCTTTTACAGAATTTCTCGTTATATTAAAACTGTTTATTTCAAGGTATATTTATGTTTCGTAACGTTTCCATTTATTAGAATTCGGGGCGTTACAGAATGGTATCAGAGCTAAGTGTTCTAAAATCAATCCTGTAGACTTAAAATTTAAAAAAAAAATGTTATTTTATGTGAATAGTTTCGAATGCATGAAATATTTTTCGCTGCCTAGATATTGTAAGGAATTTTATTTTAAGTAAATTTTACTTCTTCCAATTTCCACGTTGAGATTATATATTTTTTTAAAAATAATAATAATGATAAAATAATATTATGAACAGTGACCTCCATCCAAATTGTGTCACTATTATTTTGGTTTTGTTTGGTGCAGTGCTACTCTCATGTATAAAAAAAAAAAAAAAAGGTAAGTCACTGTTCACGGATGAACAGTGACGCGGGAATAGTGAAGTTAAATGGGATTTTGTGAAATTTTGTTTAACGTAATATAAAATGGGGTTATGTGCCTATAGTTGTCCAAACGTGTTTATTTGTTTATTCTTGGACATGATTATTTGTTTACTCATTTACTATAATTTATTTTGGATAAGGATTTATTTACTATAATGAAATGTCACACACCAAAATTTCTGCCTTCTTTCTTCGATTGAAATTAAAATAAATATAGAATAGGATTGTTTGGACTTTTTATGCGTAAATTTATGAAATGACCACATGATTGACTCTACCTTCGTATTGTTGTTATTAACAATTTTTTTTTTCGAAAAAAAAAGGAGCTATACGTATTTAATCTTTTAGGGGAAATTCATTGTTCGAGTTTTCTTGATTTGCGTATTCGTAAAACTAAAAGATTTTGTCAAAAAGATCTAAACTGTCTAAGGCGAGTTTGGGATTTAAGCGGTCCATGTGACCCCCCTCCTCACCTGGAAGCCTCTTTAGTTGCGCGTTATTCAAATCGATAAGACGAAAACAATGTTTTAAACCCACTTCAAATTTTATGAAAATCCTTTCATTTTAGAATTTTTTTTAAAAAAAAAATCCATTTTACAAAATTTATATACATAACAATAATAAGTTACGAGATCCGTGGAATCCAATGCTCATCAATCTGCCACTGTCCAATATTTTTAAGGTATGCAAAGATGAAGAATATTTTTATATTTTCATGCATGCTAATTAGTTTTATAATCTCATGAGCTTTTCCTTATACATTATTTTATTCAAAAGTAGAATGCCAATTAATCATATCATACGATTAATGATATGATTATCATATGACTAAAACCTTAATGCGTAACTTTTGGCCTTAGCATAATATACACGACAGACATGGCTTAGAAAGATCTATAGGAAGAATGTAGCATGGTTGAATAGTTCTTAAGATAGATTACTTTTTACTTAAAGGAAATGGCACGACATCAACAAGATCAAGCTACTTGTTCAGAGATTTATTGAGGGCGGTGCAAGACTTGGGCAGGCAGCAGGCTCAGGCGGCACCTAGTAATGCAACAGGAGGTGCTAACACCATGAGCTCGATCGTTGAGCAGTTTCGTCGTTTTAAACCCCCGTCCTTTGATGGTAAAGGTGAACCTTTCGCAGCTGAGGAGTGGCTGAGAAGACTTGAAGGGATCTTCGAGCACATGAACTGTAGCGACGCTCAAAAGGTTTCATGTGCAAAGTTCATGTTGACTAACGATGCTGGACATTGGTGGGATTCCGAAACACGTACTAAAACTGCAGAACAACTATGTAATCTCACTTGGGGTCAATTCAAGGAGTCGTTGATGGGTAAATATTTTTCCCAGCCATTGAGGGATCAAAAGGAGGTAGAATTTCTCCAACTCACGCAAGGAAATTTGCCACCTGGGGAGTATGAAACAAAACTTGAACAACTTTCTAGATATGCTCCACACATGGTAAACACTGAGCTGACGAAGACTAAAAGGTTTGAAATGGGGTTAAAGCCAGAGATTAAGGGAATCATGGCAGCCCAGCAACATACTACTTATGCGGAAGTTGTACGTCGAGCACAAGCAATTTCTAATGGTTTAGGATTGGAAAAGAAACCTCAACCCAACACCGAGACTTCTGTAAAGAGAGAGTGGCAAGGTTACGACAAAGACAGGAATCAGACTTAGAAAGTAAAGATTTGGTCAAGCTCAAACAAAACTTTTCCTCAATGCTCCAAATGCAACAAGCGACACTTGGGAGAATGTCTTCAAGGAAAGGGATTATGCTACATTTGTGGTAAAAGTGGCCATTTCCTTAGAGAATGTCCAGAGAAGAAGAAAGAAGGTGACCATCTTAAGAAGGGAAAGGCCAGTGTGTTTGCTTTGATGGGAGAAAATGAGAATCAGAACACAGACGTAATAACAGGTATGTTACCAGTATTCGACATACCTGCTATTGTTCTTATGGATTCTGGATCGACTCATTCATTTATTTCTACAATTTTTATGGATAAGATTGGAAGTAAATGCGTAGAAACAAATAACATTCTAGAAGTTAGTACACCCTCGGGCGAAGTCATTAATACTTATCAAATGATTAAAGGTGTTAAGTTAGAGATTGAAGGAAAAGTACTAAAGGCAGATTTGTACATCTTGGGAATGAAAGACTTTGATGTAATTTTGGGTATGGACTGGTTGGGTAGAAACTATGCAACTATCGTATGTCATAAGAATGAAGTCTTATTTCAAAAACTTGGAGAAGAAAAATTTCGATTCCTTGGAGCAAGAATTAGGACTCTACCCCGATTGATATCTGCAATGAAAGCAGAAAAGATGTTGAGGAAGAATACGTGTCGAGGATTTTTATTGAATATAAATAGTAAACCCCAGTCCGAAAGGAAAATAGAAGATGTACCTGTAGTAAATGAGTTCGTGGATGTTTTTCTTGAAGATCTACCTGGTATACTGCCTGATAGGCAAGTAGAGTTCACAATTGACTTGACCCCTGGGGCAACACCAATATCTAAGGCTCCTTATAGAATGGCACCAAAAGAGTTACAGGAATTGAAGGCACAACTACAAGAATTATTGGATAAGGGTTTCATCCGACCTAGTGTATCCCCATGGGGAGCGCCGGTATTGTTTGTTAAAAAGAAAGATGGGTCAATGAGGATGTGTATTGATTATAGAGATATTAATCATTTGACTATAAAGAACAAATATCCACTCCCAAGGATAGATGATCTTTTTGATCAATTGAAGGGTACAACGGTGTTCTCAAAAATAGATTTGAGATCAGGTTATCACCAACTTAAGATAAAGGATTGTGACATCCCAAAAACAGCTTTTAGAACGCGGTACGGGCACCATGAGTTCACAGTGATGCCATTTGGGTTAACCAATACACCAGCTGTGTTTATGGACTTAATGAATCGTGTTTTTCATCAATACCTAGATCGATTCGTTATAGTCTTCATCGACGATATACTGGTATACTCAAAGGATAAGCAACAACATGAAGAGCAATTGAGAGTGGTATTAAATACGCTTCGAAAAGAGAACTTGTACACCAAATTCAAAAAATGTGAATTCTGGCTAGATCGTATTGACTTTCTTGGTCATGTGGTTACTGCACAAGGAATTGAGGTAGACCCAGCTAAAGTTGAAGTTGTAACAAATTGGTCTAGACCGACCAATGTAGGCGAAGTTCGTAGTTTCTTGGGTCTAGTTGGCTATTACCGGAGATTTATTGAAGGATTTTCTAAGATAGCTGGACCACTGACACAATTAACTAGAAAGGGAGTAAAGTTTCAATGGTCGGATAAGTGTGAAAGCAGTTTTCAAGAATTGAAGCAAAAATTGGTTTCAGCACCAGTATTAATAATACCAGATGGTTCCGAAGGTTTTGTTATATACAGCAATGCTTCTAAACAAGGTTTTGGGATGTGTGTTAATGCAACATGGAAAGGTCATTGCCTATGCCTCTAGACAGTTGAAACCATATGAGCAGAGTTACCCAACTTATGACTTAGAACTCGCAGTAGTAGTTCACGCACTAAAAATATAGCGTCACTATCTATTTGGCGGTAAATGTGAGATATACACCGATCACAAAAGTCTCAAGTACTTCTTTACTCAAAAGGAGCTAAACATGAGACAAAGGAGATGGCTAGAGTTGGATAAAGACTATGACTGCACCATTCTTTACCACCCAGGTAAAGCTAACGTAGTTGCTGATGCTCTGAGTAGAAAGACAGCTGGAAAGTTGACATTTCCAACTACTCAAAAAGAGTTAGCTAAGAAATTTGAAAATTTGAGGCTAGAGGTGGTTACACCTTCGGTACAGAAGTCAGCCATTGTTGCGGTTCTAATGGTTCAACCAACTCTTAGAGAATGGATTAGAGAAGCTCAAAAAGATGACCCATTTTTGTGTAAAATCATGGCTAGAATTGGGACAGATAAGCAAGAGGGATTTGCGATAACTGATGATAAGATACTTATGTATAATGGCAGAATATGTGTTCCTAAAGATAAGGGATTAAGGAAAGAAATTTTTGAAGAAGCACACTCTACCGCTTATACAGCACATCCAGGAAGTACAAAAATGTATCGAGACCTTCGAAATACGTTTTGGTGGAGAAATATGAAAAGAGAAATAGGACTTTTTGTAAGTAAATGTATCATCTGTCAGCAAGTAAAAGCTGAACATCAGAGACCTTCAGGGTTGCTTAGACCACTAGATATACCGGAGTGGAAATGGGAACACATGACCATGGATTTCGTGGTAGGACTTCCGAGATCGGCTAAACGGAACAATGCTAACTGGGTAATAGTGGATCGTCTTACAAAGTCAGCCCATTTTCTTCCAGGTAAGATGACATTTACCATGGAGCAATATGCACAGATTTATGTCAATGAAATAGTCAGGTTACACGGGGTTCCTGTTTCTATTATTTCAGATGGAGACTCGAGATTCACATCAAAATTTTGGAAAAGCCTATAAAATGCTGTGGGAACAAAACTGAAATTTAGTACTGCATATCACCCACAGACTGATGGACAATCCGAAAGGACAATTCGGATACTTGAAGATATGTTAAGAGCTTGTGTACTAGATCTTGGTGGTAGCTGGGAATCACACTTGCCTTTAGTAGAATTTGCCTGTAACAATAGCTTTCAAGCAACTATAGGCATGGCACCTTACGAGGCACTATACGGTAGGAAGTGTAGATCACCTATCTACTGGGATGAGATTGGAGAAAGGAGGATTCTTGGACCTGAGAACATAGATCGAACTGTACAGGCCGTGGAAAAGATTCGAGACAGAATTAAGGTTGCTCAAGACAGACAGAAAAGCTATGCCGATAGAAGAAGAAAAGATCTCAAGTTCCAAGTTCGTGACAAGGTATTTCTGAAAGTAGCTCCAATGAAGGGAGTACTTAGATTTGGAAAGAAAGGAAAATTGAGACCAAGATTCATTGGACCATTCGATGTGTTAGAAAGAATCGGAGATGTGGCATATAGACTGGCACTGCCACCAGAACTTTCAGCAGTGCATAATGTTTTTCATGTATCAATGTTGCAAAAATACTTACAGGATCCTAATCATGTGATCAACCATCAAAATTTAGATGTACAACATGATTTGACCTATGAAGAAATGCCATTGAGGATACTAGAAAGAAAGGTTCATGTACTGAGAAATAGGGATATTCCCTTCATCAAGGACCCATGGCGTAACCATGGAGTGGAAGAAGTAACTTGGGAAAAGGAAGATGAGATGAAAATCAAGTATCCCGAACTTTTCAACTAATCTAAGGTAAATTTCGAGGACGAAATTATTTTAAGGAGGGTAGGTTGTAGAATCCCGAATTTTTAACTTAAATTCGCATATATTTTTATTTGCCATTTAATAGGAATGCAATGTTTGGTTAAGTTCTTATGCAAGTTAATTGATTATCTCTATAGTTATCTTATTAGTTGAGGGACCAAATAAAAAAAAAATATATCAGATTATTTTATACTTTATTAAATGGGCCAAATAGTTAACTATTGAAGGAGTTAGAATTACTCTACCAATATTGGGTTCATTTTGAAGCTCATAATAAATGGCGAATTATGGACTCAAGAAAAATTTAATTTGGTCAAGTTAAACCCGAGTTTTAGCCGTCTAAAGAATAGTATGGTTATAAAAGTTTTAAAGGATTAGATTTTTCGCCAGTTGACTGCCACCACTTATTTAGCTAAATAAATTAGAATTTTAAGTTTTGGTTAAACAAAGTCTTTATGTTAAGTATTAATAATTATACATTTTTAATTAAGAGGTAATCAATTAAAACGTAATTCCTGCTTACAAATTTAGTTAAATGCAAATCAAAGGAATTTGAATTATTTGATGTTAGACTTTAGTACATGAGTAACCCATGCATTTCATTACAACTTTCACGTGTCCATATAATTAGTAATCATTGTGTCCCCTAATTGGAACAAATTTTGGGAAGATTGGACTGAAATTCTAATTTAATTAATAAGCATATATTTTATAATTTTCGGCCATTAGGAGATTGACAATTTAAGATGTTTGTATTAGAGTAAATTATGCAAATAGGAGGCAGATTTGTTTTCCCCGTCCACGTGTAAAAGTTATGCAGTGTAATGCCTATCATTTCCTTGTTGTAATTGTAATTGATATAGAAATTGGCAGAAAACCAATAATTAATCTCTAGTCATACTATATCAATCGGGAATTATGAATCAATTTCTCAGAAGATTGCATGAAATACGAATTTAAATATGGCTGAAATTCCACTTCCCCCACGTGATTACCCGACTTCAACAGTATAAATAGAGCACTAAAACCACATTCTACTACATTTCCATTACCTCTCCCTCTTTAAAATATTCCTCTATATTATTTAGATTTTTTAAGGCTTTGGAATTGCAATCACATTTCTGCAATTTTATTCTCCACTTTCATCTTCAAAAGGTGAGATACTCGGCACTATTAGTGGTTTTTCCACATCTTTTCAAATACGTTATTATGAATTTAATTACTTCAATTCAGGCTCCTTCGGGAGAAATGATGATACATTTTAAGGCACAATTTAGCATTCACGTTATTTTCAAGGCACAATTTAGCCTTCACGTTATTTTCAAGGCACAATTTAGCCTTCACGTTATTTTGCAGC